TGCAGCCAAGTCACAAAGACTGTGCCCTTTCCTCCCCCAGGATCCCCAGAGCCCTGAAGACAGTGCCCTTGAAAGCCAGAATTAGACAGGCAGTCAGTGTAAATAGGTAAATCGAGTCAGGTCAGAACTAGGAGGCCAATTTGAGTTGAGTCCAGGAAGTTGGAGACTGCCCCCTGAAGGACTGAAATGTTAATTCCTTCAGAGCCCTTCCTCCACTCTTATCAATATAACCTGCCTCYGGTTCCAACCTGTTCCTAAGGTAACCTGTCCCAGGAATTGCCCCTCCCTACACTGAATTGTAAAAGTTGTTAATTAATGTGTCCAGGGYTGCTCCATCCTGTCTTTACCCCTTCAGCCCACCTGTTTCCCACCTTTTGGCCATCCCACTGGACATCTCCTGGGCCTTGTCACACAGGAAGGAGAGARATAAGGGGAAGAGGGCAGGAGAACAAAGGAAGCCTGGGACATATAAAAAAGGCAGAACACCTCAATTCTTGGGATACCAGGATACCTGCTACAGSTCCCTTCTCCCTCCTGGGAGAAGTCTGTGTTACTCCTTTTTAAATGAACCCTGCTTTATAGCTTGCCTCAGCGTGCTTCTCTAATGTTATACTTCAACACTTGAGAGAGCAGAACTCATCACCGATAACCGGCCAGCTGTATCACCCTGGCTCACCTGACTACCTGGGTAGGCACAGTCCATGCACATTCCAATTTAAAATTACAACTAAGCAACCCAAACTAAGTCTGGGCAGTCTCTCAAACTAAGGAAATTTTGGTATTATGGTAATAGTTGTGTGTACTCCACCTCAGCCCTTTTTTGTGATACTGGGAATAGAACCCAGGGCCACTCTACCACTAAGCTACATCTCCAACCTTTTATTTTTTCTTTTCAATCAGAGTCTCACTAAATTGCCAATATTGGCCTCAAACTTGCTATCCTCCTGTCTCAGTTTCCCAAGTCACTGGAATTATAGGCATTCACCGCCAATTACCTTGCCAAGTCCTTGCTTCCTCAAATGCTGAAATATAACATCAGAGAAGCACATCAAAGCAAGTGTAGAATGGAAAGTAAAAAGCTTTATTAAAGGATAGGAGAAAAGACTCCCAGGGCCCCAGGAAGAAGGGGATCCCAAAGGCGGAATCCTGGGATGGGGAAAGTCTCGTCCCTTTTATACCTAAGGTTTTCTTTTGTTCTGCTACATTTCTGTCCTTTATCTTACTTATTTCCCTTTATCCTACATGTGCTAGAGGATGCCGGTGGGAAGGCCAAAAGGTGAAAAATAGGTGGGCCGATTGGAGGTGGGTGGGGAGTGATCCAGGCAGGAAGGGCCCAGGGTGAATGATTAGCACCTCCCTATTTGCTTCATTAACAGTTCTTTTTATTATTATTATTTTTATTTTTTAATTAATGGTTCTTTAGGATGGCCAGAGTCTTGGGAACATTAACATTTCAATCTCCCAGGTCTAGTTTCTGATTTCCTGAACACAGATCAGACTTCATTTTTCTCTATTAAGCTCAATATCAGATCCCATTTACCTAGCTACACTAACCACCTTAAATCTGGCTTCATTTTTAGGGTTCTAAACTAAACTAAGCAGAAGATACATAAATGTCCCATAAGCCCCTTCCCCCTACACACGTAAGTACCCTCTTTCATTATTATCCCTTTCCCTTCTCCTTCCCCTACCCCCTCCCATGGTGACACTTTTCACCTGGCTGAAGAGACCTGGCCCTTAAACTCAGCCCCTAAACTCCCGCTCAGCCAACCSGCTAACAGTAGTAACAATTTAGTTAACCTAAGCCCTCCCGCCTCTAGTGACCTATATAGGTATTGTTCTCCTCTCCAGCACACACAGTTTCCCTGGCCCTCATTCTTTTGCCCCAGAGCGCCCCTACCTTCCCAATAAAACTCCTTTTGGTGCCTTATCCTTGTTCCGTGGTTCTCTGGCCTCACGCCCTTTTATGCTTTATAGTTATCAACATCCTGCACCAAAGTAGAACACATATTACACCTGAAAAACCCACACCGACACACCATTATCACTCAGAGTCCAGATTTGGTTCTTGGTGGACTTTTTACCAGTGCCCCTGATGAACCCAGCCTAATTCTATCTTAAGATTGGGAGCCATCTTGTCACAAAGTCATGAAAAGTTAATTTCTCTTTATTATAAATTACTGAGATTAATAAACTTGCTTGGAATGCCTGCCCGAGCCTTGAACTCATCCATGCCTGGCTTTCCCTGACCAGATAACAACCTTCTCTGAAACTTCACCGGTGCCTCATAAATTCTGGTGTTGGGATCTAAATTTACTCCTTAACTTGAAATGTTGAACCATTTAGATCATTAACCTACTATCTGCCTTTGTATTATGCTTGTCAAAATCCTCTTATMTATAAGTTCTCAAGACACCCCCCTTTTGCAACTTTTTGTGCTATAAAAACTATTCTAGAGAGCTGAGGTGCTGTGCTCTTCTGGCCCAAGGGTTTCCAGAGAGACAATCCTGGCCAGAATCACAAGCTTGCTTTAATTTGATTTAAAATTGGAATTGGTGGTCTTTTCTTTGCGTAGTGGTTTAACACCCCAGGCCAGGTCTGGACACTTGTTCCCCCAAAACACATCAGGTCTGGACACTTGTTTTCCCCAAACCAATGGAAAAGTAATGGTGAAAAAAAGRAAAGGAGCTGTAGTAAGTGTAGCAACACCAGATACACAAGGGGATCCGTGCCCCTAGCCTTGTCTTCCAGGGGCTGACAATGACCTTGAGGTTTAATAGAATGAAAAGTAAGGTCAAGAGTTGGGGGTTTGCATAGCTGGATGCTTTTTCACACTTGCCAAACCAGGTGATCTTGCTCAGGTGTGGCCTGTTCCATCATTCTCTCAGAACTGATCAGGCAGGACCTTCTTGGCATAGGAAATTTGCTGTTGCCTTGAGCACAGTGTTGATTCTTTTCACAAGTTTTCTCTGCCAGACCTGTTATTCCTGAAATCTAAGGTGATTACAGATGGAAATGGCTTAGAAGAACTTAGAAGGAGGAAAAAAAAAATAGATAAAACTGAAATAGAAAGTTGAGGGTACAGAAAAAGAATGTATCAAAAGAAAAGCTCTTCTGAGAGCTGGGGTGGTAGCTCAGTTGGTAGAGCACTCACCTTAGCACATGTGAGGCACTGGGTTCTATCCTCAGCACCACATAAAAATAAAATAAAGGTATTGTGTCCATCTACTATAAAAAAGAGAGAAAGAAAAAGAAAAGTACCTCTGAGCCATTGGAATTCAGGAAATTCCTATGAAACTTTAAAGTAGAAAACAAACATTGATGAGCAACCCAGTACCTGTCCTTAGCACCAGCCTACCTGCCATCGCCCAGGCTGTTTTCTTTACCAGGAATGTGTTTTGTTTTTTTCTGGCTTTCCATTTCCTGCCCTTGGCCCATGTCCTTGCTTGCAAAAAGGAACTTGGAGCCAATGCACAAGCCTAGGGAAAACTAGATTGAAATTGAAATTGCTCTGCCCTGGGTTCACTCTAGTCCCGCCCCTAACTATTGTCCCTCTATGCACATTAGCACCACAGACCGGGGTTGCTGTCTCTACCTTGAGAGATAGCCCACATTCTCCCTTGAATGTGTATTCCTTGATTTACCCCCCAAAGCTTCTCACTCTCAAGATAAGCTCCATTCTCCCTTGAATGTATATTTCTAACTTTACCCCCAAAGATGTTTCTCCCTTGAGATAGCCTGCCCTTGAATGTATATCTGCTCTCCTACATAAATCTATGTCCTGAACTGAGATCCCCCTCTCCAGGAGCTCTAGTTCTAAATGATGATTGAAAACAGAGTGGAGAACATGATGAAGTGACAAAACAAGTCTGAGAGGCAAGATGGAATCTAGATGGAGTTAGGTTGGTGACTGGGGCCTCCTTCAGACTCTCAGTGGAGACTGAGACTACAATCACTGGAGAAAGCTTCAGAGCTGAGGTCTTGGGCTCATGCAAGTGGAGTTTTACTGATAGAAACAGAGAAAACGCTCATGTTCAGACTGACCCTTAGCCAAGTGCAGCTCTCCTTTTCCACTGCTGGTGAGCCTGAGTAGTCACAGACTTTGTAGGTGATAGCAGTATTCCCACAGATGCCAACCCCAGYGTGACCTCCCACCAGGTGGGCCAGGTATGAATCAGAAGGGTAAAGGGCAGGGTTGCCTCTATAGCTAGTATTACAAAGTCTTGATGGAAGACCCAGAATCTTCAGGAGATTCATGTTTTCAAACCCAGGGTTCCCCAACCTCTGCCCCATAACTAGCATACCAGCCTTCTCCATCCTGCCCATTGTTTCTCAGGTGCTCCAGACTCTTGCCCWGCCTACCTGCCATTGCCCAGGCTGTTTCCTTTACCGGGAATGTGTTTTGCTTTTTCTGAATCTCCATTTCCTCATCTATAAAGAGAAAAAGTAATTGTCACTCTTTTCTAAAAGTGAATTGATTATTTAAAGGTGCTGAGGCTATTAGCTTGGAGAAGAGAAGTCCCCAGGGCAGAGAAAGCAGTCCTAACTAGAAAGACCTGAAAGGCAGAACGAAGTGCAGTAGAAGGAGTCAGGGAGAGAGATTTCAGCAAAGGATCAGAGAAAATCAGAGATAGAGCTGGCTGCTTCAGGAAACAGTGAATTCCCAATCCTAAAGGAAAGTGTAGAAGCTGGAGTTCTTTGGTAAAGAGGTTCAGGAGTTGAGAGTTAAATGGTTTGGAGCTGGAAACTGTAGCTCTGAGAGGGATATTTGCATCAGTTTGCAGTCTTACATATATCAGTTCCCTTCCTAGCTCTACCTCCCACTAGTGAAGTTACTCTTCTCTCTGAGCCTCATTTAGAAGTGGCAAGGAGATGGTAAGAGAGTCCACATTGTAGAAGTTTTATGAAGCTTCACTGATGCGGTAAACATAATGGAAACAGCAGGCAGTAGGTGCCCAGCAATTGGGAAATGTCAGGAGATCACCACTTAGTTCTAAATGATGATTGAAAACAGAGTGGAGGACATGATGAAGAGGACTTTGCTGCTGCTTCTAGAACCAGAGTCTGGAAAGGCCACCAGCGGTCAGGAAGAGGGAGGTTGGAAGCACGTAGTACATTCTAAGCAGAGGAACATGAGGAAAAAAAAATAAATGGGCTATACATATTTTTTTTCTGAATTTTCTAATTCTGTTCCATAACCCTTTTTAAGTCTATCTTTATATCAGTGCCACCTTGTCTTGATCATTTTGGCTTCTAGTAAATCTTGAAGTCAGGTAATATAGGTCCTCTAACTTTCTTCTTGTTTGCAGAGTTGATTTAAATGTTACAAGTTAGTGTACAATTTGCAATCAGCTTTTACATTTTTACAAAAGAGTCTTYTAGGCATTTGATTGGGATTGCATTAAAGGTAAAAACTGAGGAAAGGATTTTTTAAAAATATTGTATCTTCTAACTTATGAATGTCATCTGTTTATTCAGGACTTCTTTAGTATTTTTCAGCAATATTCATAAATTTTCAATATAACTGTCTTGTACATTTTTCAAATTATTCCTAAGTATTTTTCTTTTGATGCTATTATAAATTATATTTTTKAACTAAAGGGAGCTCTGTCTCTCTGCTTTCTGGCTTCCAGAACATTTCCATCACCCTAGAAAGTTTCCAAATGCTGTTTCCCAGTCAATCCCTCAAAACTCAACTTCACCCCACTGCAGAGCAACCACTACAGTTTTCTCTTTTACATTTTATGCCAATGTWTTCATTCACTATGTATTATTTTAAGCCTTTCTTTTCTGATCTAACATAATTTATTTCTTTTGTATGTCAGAAGTTTATTTATTTTTTTATTGTTGGCTATCATTTCATTTTATGAGCAAGCACTTCATTATTCCATTTGGACTGCTTCCAATTCAGGGGTATTATGAATGAGATTGCTATGAAAGTCTTTGTTCCACTTGTTTTGTGGACTTATGTTATCATGTCCCTTGTGTAAATACCTAGCAATGGAATTACTGGGCTGTGGTTAAATGTGTATTTAACTGTATTACCAAATGTCAAACAGTTTTCAAAGGTGTTTGTACCATTGTACATCCCTACAACATTTTTTCTTTTATGTTTCTTTCATTATTTTTGTGCCCAGCCTAGAAACCTTTACCTACTCTCAAGTCTGGGAGATCTTCTATATTTTCTTCTAGAAGTGCTATGATTATAATTTTTACCTTTAGGTCTATGATCCATCTGAAATTAAATTTTAATTGTGGTTGAGAAGGAGCTTGAAATTCATTTTCTCCACACAAATACCCAGTTGCTTGAGCAACATTTTTAAAAAAGACTTTCCCCATTGAGGAATGTTTAGTACATTTATATCTAGTGTAATTATTAATGTGATTGAGTTTAAGTGAATCACCTTGTTAATAATTTTCATTTTGAACATTTGTGGCTCTTTCTTGCCTTTTTTTTTTTTGAGGTGGGTATTACCGGGGGCTGAACTCAAACACTCTCGACCACTGAACCACATACACAGCCCTATTTTGTATTTTATTTAGAGACAAGGTCTCACTGAGTTGCTTAGTGCCTTGCTTTTGCTGAGGCAGGCTTTGAACTCATGATCCAATTGCCTCAGCCTCCCAAGCCACTGGGATTACTGGCATGTGCCATTGGGCCTGGCAGATCACAGTAATCTTTACAACAAAAATCAGTCTTTTGAACACAACTTTAAATGAGCTGAAATCTAGCCTATTTTGTCTTTTTTTTTTTTTTTTTAAGAGAGAGTGAGAGAGGAGAGAGAGAGAGAGAGAGAATTTTTTTTTATTTTTCAGTTCTCGGCGGACACAACATCTTTGTTGGTATGTGGTGCTGAGGAGGATCGAACCCGGGTCGCACGCATGCCAGGCGAGCGCGCTACCACTTGAGCCACATCCCCAGCCCCATAGCCTATTTTGGAACCATTCTAACATGGAGTAAGGTGAGAGGCAGAGCCTTATCTCAGGTAAGGTAGGCTCTTCACAAATAACACAATACAATATTACATCTGAAACATGAATCAAAGAAAGGCTAAGAGAGCTTTCAACTTTCTTTTTATGGAAAAAGTGGCAGAACATTTCCATGTTTTATAATGTCATCTTTAAACAGATTGGGCTTTCATTATCTTCCCGAAAATGCATTTAAATTCGAATTCTAGAGTGAAGAGTAAGAAAAAAAATTATACATATAACTTATTGACAACAGGTTACTTTATCCAGTTATAAAACAATCAACTGAAATTAATAAAAACAAGCCATATTTGTTATTTCTATACAAATTCAAGACTTTTAGATAATTTTAGTGTGGAGAACATCAACTTGGCAAAGTGCTACCCTAAGCTTTATATTTAACTAAGTTTAACATTTTTAAAGTACAATTTAGAATCTAGAGTGTACAGCAACAACAATCACTGGTCTGCATGGGTTAACAAATAATCAAAGGATAGCCTTTAATCTCTTATGCATTTAGAAAACTGTTAATAATCAGACATCAACTGAGTCAAAACAAACAGATATAAGACAGGTCTTCAAATGACAGTGTGGCTCTTCCATTTCAGATATAATGTATGAAAGAGAGCACTTATTAGTTATCTTGCCCATAAACTTTCATTTTATAGACTTTTATATAACACTTAGACAAGGCTTAGACAAATATAGTTCTCAAATGCAGACACATACCTAGTTGCATATATTTAGGATGTCAACTATATTGTTATAACCTAAATAACTGTTGTTTGCTTAACCAGTTACAAAGCAATCATTTAAGACTTTAAAACATGTACAAATCCTAATTCCTTTAAGACTAAGTTTCCCCAAGTAATAAAACCTAACAAATACAAGAAAATTATCTTGGTAGATAAGAGCATATCAATGTTTCAAATTTTGTTTTTATCAGTGCATTAAAATTCAGGTAACTTTAACTGACTGTGCTAATTATAGCCAATTTAACCACAAACACAAACTTTTTGAGATTTACCTTCCACAAAGCTTCTGTGACTTACTTAAACATTCAAAACTTCTTTATATTCTTAGTTTTGTCCTCTTTCATCTTGGACTTTAGTACAAAAATATGTCTTTACCAGACAAAACACTTTCAATTCCAGAAACACTTTTTTTACTTTCTAATTTTCCATACTAAAATATATTTCCATACCTATAACTTTCTTGTATCTTTTCTAGTTTTAGACCCTTTCTTAAATTCATATTCTGAAACGGCCCTTATGAATGTTTTCTGTGCATTTAATTTACACAACAAATTTCATCCCAGGAGAGGGTTGGACAATTCAGCATATAGAAAAACTGTGTCTTAATCTTTTGTCTCCTAGGTTGCATTCAAGCAGTGGGAGCACAGGATATTTTTGAGCTTGACCTATCTCTGTTATCATCATCGCAATGTCATCAACTTTAAGTGAGTTCCCCACAATCAATTGTATCCAGAGGCTCCTTTTGGGCCTTTAAAAAAAATAGTAGGCATATTGATATGCAATGGATGAGGTCTTTTTCATCTTTCTCTTCAGGCTTCCTTGAAGATCCCTTTACAGAGGCTGCCTACAAAACACAGGTTGGCCATAGTTTCTGTCTTTTCCTTTTCTGGGTGCAGTTATTTATTCTGCCATTTTTTCCAGGCATTTAGTTTGATGGGATGCTATTTTAGCAAAAATTGTTTTGCTCCAATGATGAATATCCCTTGGCCAAATGGGGTGTACTGTCAGATCTTAAAAGGGGAGATTATTCCTTTCCCAAGCTCATAAACTGACAGTGCTGGAACCTACTACCACAGTCTTTGTGGCCAGCAGTCTCAGGGGCAAGAGGGGCTGACAGGCAGGACAGAGGCCAGTTTTCTACAGCCCAGAAAGCTTTTCTGGGATTTTTTTTTTTTTTCCAGTTTAGGGCTAGTGTCCTTGACCCACAGCGATGCCTGGGGCCAGGCTGCAAAACAGTGCTGGGAGTGCCAGCACTGGATTTAAGTCTTTTTTAAGCTCTTTCTTCTGGTGTCCTGCTATCCTTGCACACCAGAGGCAGTACCTTTTGGCACCTTCAAATTTGTTCCTCATGGTTCAGACCCCTTATAATGAAACTGCATAAATGCCTGTACACACAGAATCTGTTTCATATAATTTAACCCTGACAGACCAATTTCAACATTAAGATTGTACAATAGTCCAGAAAAAAAATCATTCAAAAGCCAGATTGTATTAGAGTAAACCCTCTTTTTCATAGAGAGGCTATACCTATAAGAGACCCACGCAGCCAATATCTCTCTGCTCAAGAGACTACTGGTAAGATCAATGTACCTTGGCCCATTTCTTAAAAGAGGCAGTAACAGATACAAACAAAACAAAAACATGACAATCAGAGGGAATTCTCAAATCACAGCTGATAGGTAGAAATCTTTAAAACAGATAGACCAGAAATCCCATGTTCCCAAATAGGTTGGTTTCATAGTTTAGCTATTGTGAATTGAGCTGCTATGAATATTGATGTGGCTGCATCACCATAGTATGCTGCTTTTAAATCCTTTGGGTATAAACCAAGGAGTGGAATAGCTGGGTCAAATGGTAGTTCCATTCCAAGTTTTCTGAGAAATCTCCATACTGCTTTCCACAATGGTTGCACCAATTTTGATCTCTCCTTAAGGTCTGTAAGTCTGACCTCAGGTGACCCAGGCCTCAGGAGAGTTCCATGTTGCCCCAGAGTTGAACTGAGTGTGGCTCTGGTTTTGGATGCAGGTTGCTTACCCTGAATGGGGAATGGAGCTTTACCATGGTTACTGTCTGCTTGTTTCTGGTCACTTTCTGCAGCCTGGTTTCCCTGAACTTTTCTGATCCTGGCATCCTGTATCGAGGTAAGGCCTCAGACCCCTGGGAGAAGTAGGTGGCACCCCAAGGACTGATGCCTACAGGGGTGATTTCTTTTTTTTTTTTTAAGATTTTTTTTTTTTTTGAGAGAGAGAGAGAGAGAGAGA